AGGTGCTGGGCGGTGACATGGGATCAGGGAGGCACGGGGCAATGAGGGGGATGACTGGGGAATGGGGGGTCCTAGGGCTGATGGGGGTGGGTGCTGTGGGAATCTGGGGGCAGGCGAGGATTGGGGGACAGGAGCAGGGTGTCTTGGGGGAGCTGGGGATGGGGTGTGTGTGGAGGACAGGGGACAGGAGCGGGGGGCCTTGGGGGGAGCTGGTGTCGGCAGAACGGGGTGTCTGGGAGCAGGCAGGCACTGGGGAGCACTGCAGGTTTGGGGGGCACGGGGGAGAACTGGGGATGTGAGAGCAGGCACTAGGGGGCTGGGTATTGGGGGTGGTGGGGGATCTAAGGCAAGAGAGGGGTGGGGGGAGGGACAGAGCAGTGGGGGTGGGTCTCTGGGGGCAGTCGGGGGTGCTGAGGGGGCGGCTCACGGGGGCTCGACCCCATGCCTGCCCCGTTTGGGGGCTGGCTCCCATCTCCCCGCAGGCTCCCTGATGGGCGACCCGGCCGTGATGGTGACCCTGCTGCCCAGCGTGCCCGAGGCGGTGCCGGCCCAGAGCCGGGCCGGGGAGTTCATCCTCCTGCTGGACCGCTCCGGCAGCATGGCGTGCCCCATGGACGGCAGAGACCTCTCCCGCCAGCGCATCAACAGCGCCAAGGTACGGCCAGACGGGAGGCTGCGCTAGATGGGCCTGTGGGGCCACGCCCGGGGGAGCTGCCCAGGCTGGCTGGGCCCATGGGGCTGACTCTCCGTCCATCTGTCTGTCCCCAGGAGACCCTGTTCCTGCTGTTGAAGAGTTTGCCCCTGGGCTGTTATTTCAACATCTACGGCTTTGGGTCTGAGTTCGAGTCCTTCTACCCGTGAGTCCGAGGGGCAGGGCAGGGAGGAGGCTGGCTGGGTTAGGGGGCAGGGCTGGTTAGGGGACAGAGGGTGTCTGTGAGTTAGGGGGCAGGGCTGGTTAGGGGGTAGGGGGCTTCGGTGGGTTGGGGGCAGGGCTGGTTGGGGGCAGGGAGTATCGGTGGGTTAGGGGGCAGGGCTGGCTGGGGGCAGGGGGTGACTGGGTTAGGGGCAGGGCTGGCTGGGGGCAGGGTGTCCCTGGCTTCGGCTGTCCCAGCCCCAGACCTGTCGTCGCCCCCCGCAGGCAGAGCGTGGAATATACCCAGCAGACCATGGCCGAGTCCCTGCAGCGCATCCAGCTGCTCCAGGCTAACCTGGGGGGCACCAAAATCTTGGAGCCACTACGAGCCATTTACCGCAGCCCCTGCCGGGACGGGCACCCACGCCAGGTACCGGGGGCACTGGGGCCAGCTGGAGGGGCGTCCTGGGGCAGGCTCGGAGAGTGATTGTGGGGCCGAGGGGTGATGTGGGGGGTTTCAGAGAGGGATGCGGGCCTGGTGGGACAGACTCATAGACTTTCAGGACAGAAGGGACCATCGTGATCATCTCATCAGGCCCCAGCTCCTCGCCCCCACCGTGACAGCCCCTCGCCCCCCTGTGACACTGCTCAGCCCCTCGCCCCCCTGTGACAGCCCCGCCCCTCAGGCTGAGTCACTGCACCCCCAAACCATGAGTTACAGGCGTCAGGTCACAGCGACTCCCCCCAGTTGCTCCAGTTCAAACCAGTGAGTGCCCCGGGCCCCAGGCTGCTGAGGGAGACCAACCCCCTAGGGTCTCTGCCAATCTGAGCCGGGGGAAAATCCCTTCCCCACCCCACACGTGGGGGTCAGCTTGCCCGGAGGATGGGGGCGAGACCCCCTCTCCCCCAGCCAGCTCCCTGGGAAGGATTCTCTGCAGTAACTCTGAGCCCCCCCCCAGTGCCCCAGCCCTGCCCATGGGGTGTTTGCTCCCAGCTGTCGCATGGGCCATACGCCATCGCAGGCCCTTCCTTGCCTGCCCCCCCCCTGCTCCCCTCGGAGGCTGTTCCTGAACTTCCAAGGGGGAGACCCCGGGAGAGGGGATCGGAGAGGGGCTGGGGGTTCTGGGGGGCAGCCGACAGGGGCCATGGGGTGGCTCAGAGTGGGACTGGGGCTCTGGGCCAGATGAGGGGGCCAGTGCCCCTGGGGGTGTGAGCGGGGCGTGGCAGGTAGCAACCGGGGGGGGTACCTCTGTATAGAGCTGGGAGGAGCAATGCTTTGTGCCCCGACCAGCTCTGGGGGGTGCCCTGCAGCCCAGGGGGGCAGGGAGGGCACACGTGGGGGGGTCAGGAGGGAGCTCCCGGAAAGGTGCCCACAGCAGTCGGTGGGTTCTTGTCTCCAGGGGTCGGTGAACAGGTGATGGGTTGGGGTCATGCCTAGGGGTTGAGGGTCACAGAGGTAGGGGAGAAGGTCACGGTCATCCCCTCGGGAGATCTCTAGGAGGGGAGGGATGGGGCCGGGGTTCTCTGGGAGGGTCAGAGGGGCAGACTCTCCAAGGGGGCTGCTCCCGTTCCCAGCGGGGAGGGGGTGTCTCCGGGGGGTGTTTGGTCCCTGGCTCTGACAGCGTCTCTCCCCCCCCCCCGCCCCCAGCTGTTCGTGGTTACGGATGGGGAGGTAGAGAACACCCAGGATGTCATCGCAGAGGTGCAGCGTCACCGGGGGACCCACAGGTAATGGGGGTGCCTGCCCCCCGAGCCCTGCCCCCATTAGCATTGCCATCATGTGGACCCCCCCACACCATAGTCCCCAGCATCTGCCCAACCCTTCACCTCACCCTACTCCCCAGCCCCGCCAGCATGGGGAGCCCGCCCCCAGCCCAGCCAGCCCTACTGGCCCCTCTCCAACTGTCCTGTCCCCCCCCTCCCAGCACTGGAGAGCCCCACCAGCTCTGCCCCCCCAGCCCTGAACTCTGCCCCCCCTGCAGGTGCTTCTCCTTCGGCATCGGGGCCGGGGCCTCCACAGCTCTGATCAAAGGCATCGCCCGGGCAGCAGAGGGCAGCGCCGAGTTCATCACTAGCCAGGACCGCATGCAGCCCAAGGTGAGAACCCAGGAGTCCGAGCTCCCCTGCTGTAACCACCAGCCCCCACTCCCCTCCCTGCAGCAGGGATAGAACCCAGGAGTCCTGGCTCCCAGCTCCCCCACTCTAGGCCATTAGACCCCACTCCCCTGCAGAGCTGGGGATAGGACCCAGGCGTCCTGGCCCACCCTATGTGTGCTGGTCTCTCTCCCAGGTGCTGCAGTCTCTGAAGCGGGCCCTGCAGCCGGCGGTGACCGGGATCTCGCTGAGCTGGGATCTGCCCCCCGGGATGCAGGCGGAGCTGCTGCGTCGTGGCCCCGAGGTGATCTTGGGTGGGCAGCGGTGCCTCGTCTACGCCCAGCTCCGCGGGCAGCCCCAGGTGAGAGAGTGAGGCCCCTGCCCTGGGACGCCCCCAGGGCTCGGGATCAGTGACTGAGCCAGGAGCCCCCCAGTCTCCTCCTGGGCGATAACTCTGACCCCTAACGATGGCCATTGAGCCAGTGGATCTCTGTGCTACCCTAGCCCCATTGATTTCAGTGGGGATTGTTAACTCTGACCCCTAATGATAGCCACTGGGCTGCAGGTCTCTGTACTAGCCCGGCTGCATTGATCTCAGGGCAGGTCTACACTACAAATTTACATCGGCGCAGCTGCACCGCTGTAGCACGTCTGGTGAAGATGCTCTAAGCCGACGGGAGAAGCTCTCCTGCTGACATAGCGCTGTCTACACGGGGGGCTAAGGTCGGTGTAACTATGTCGCTCAGGGGTGTGGATTTTTCATGCCCCTGGGCAACGTAGTTCTACCAAAGTATGTAGTGTAGACGAGACCTCCAGTGGGGATCGATAACTCTGAC